TGTGTATATGTGTGGCTCTTGCACGCAACAGCTTCAATGCCCTGGGATCCAAATGAGGGTTGTTTGCTTTGAAGCTATCCCAGTGGATCCCAGTTACCACCAAAAAGGAACCAGGGATTCTAGGCCTATGGTTTTTAGTCTTTGGAACCACTGGTTACCAGCAATAGTGGTAACTGGATGCCCTGCGTATGCTGACTGCCGTCTGACTGCGTTGAGGCTACAGGGACGTCGCAAACATACCCAAATGATTCAGAAACTCGAAATGCTGTCCAAAGTTCTAAAGAAACATGGCTCTTGTTACATTGTTTTTGCTTGGTTTGCAGTGGCCGGTGCCAAGTTCGTTGCCGATCAGGATGTCAAGAAACGGCCATGATCATGGGAGAGGCATTTTTCCAGAGATCGGAAGTTCTCGTGGCACAGGGGCTCCGCTTCGAAGAACCTTGGGATGACAAACACTGATCGAGGAAACTCAGTAAGGCGCTCTCCCTCTCGCGCTTGCTCTCTCCCTCCCTCCCTCCCTCCCTCCCTCCCTCCCTCCCTCTCGCGCTCGCTCTCTCTATCGTTGTCTTTATATAACAATTGCATTGTTGGTAATGTTGGTCGTCCCTTTGATTTATATACATGCATGGTAGTTTGTGGAGGTGGATAATGTAGCACAGCGAAAAGAAAAAACACATTATTGCAAGAATTGATCTGTTCTGCACGAGCCAGCAACTTGGAAGATCCTCCCAAGAAGGCCCAAGTGCAAAGCAACCAAGGAAGTTGGCGCATGGCACACGGCATGGGATGTCATGAGCATCCAAGACCCGAGAGAATTTGAGACATTAAGTTTCCGGGTCCAAGACTCACTCCTTTGACTCAATTTTTTCGGCTCAAACCTCTGTGCATCTCTTCTCTTGTTGGCCAATGAGCCAATGAGGGTAACGGACTTCACATAACAATCCTCCTTTCTTGGCGAATGCCTCAACGACCATCCAAGGACAAAATTCCGAAGCTATCCTAAGCTAAGCCGGCCTGTTCTCAGTCTACAGGTGTCCCTGGCGTCCCTCTTAGGCACAAGAGCACCCCAGAGTTCCCTGGTTGTTGGTGGGTTGTTCCTCCAATCCTCCACGGGATGAACTTGGGGAATATGTTCACTGTGTTCACGTTTTCTTTTTTCTTCTTCCTCGGTTCGCTGCACAGCCTTCTCCATCCTGTTCGCCCAACCAACCCGCGCGTGTTCCACGCAAAACACGGCTCCTGGCAGTCGAAGCTCACCAAGTCCACATCGAACACCAGCGTGGCATCCGCCGGGATCTTGGGCGGCAACTGGGCGGAGGCGGGGAGCGCGGGGGCCGTGGGCCGCGCGGGCCGTACGGGGGCTGCAGGCGGCCGGGTTCCAAGCCTCTGGTTTTTCGGGTCAGCGCACCGGATGAACCCAACTGGCAGGCTGGGTTCAAGAGAATTCGCTGAGCACACGACAGTGGGCAGTTGACTGTGTCCTGCATATTTTGGTACAAGCTTGTGTTCGCGCATATTGAGGTCAGTCCACACTTCCCCCAGCTTGGAGTCCGATTTGTGGAAGTCTTCTGGGCTAGGCCCGCTTGAGTTGCAGACAGTCTGCATCGATCATGAATCAGGATCCTCATCACCACCACCATCACCCAGAATAATCCAAGGATACTAATTATCACTATTTATATACTTTTTGATCCAGCTTGCTTGGAAGAGTTGACATTGGAATACATTGGGCCATCTTTTTCTGCCTCCCCAAGCCATTCTAAAGATCTCATAGTCGCCCCTCCGTCCCCTCCGCTGCCAAATCAACTTGTCTATATGCTTATGGCCTTGGGTCAATGCGGTACTTTCAGCTTTTGCTGACTGTTATGTAGACTCAACAGAGGACCATGGACCATGCCGGCCTGAAGAGGTTTTTCAATTCAATTCGGTCTACGGGTGTTCAATCCGCCAGCCCGGCAGCCCGAACCCTCGCAGCTGAGCCGTCCGGGCCCCTTCAGAGCCATAGGCGAACTCAGGGCTGATGGTCAGCCGAGCTTCCTAAAGGACCCAGGTCTTGTAGAACAGGGGTGGCATTTTTGAGGACGTGATGTCAGCTGGCAAGCTTTCATTTCAAGGCCTCACCTGATGGACTGAAGAGATATAAAGAGCATCACTGCCATAGTAGGTGCGTCAAACCCACGGGTTCTACCAACCAAACCCACGGCTTCTCCGTCTCTGTCCGGCTGGGTGGACCACCTCCCCTTGGCGCATCGTAGGGATTGCTGCCTCCCAACCTCACTACGGCTCAACGGGCACCAGGTGCCAAATGGCTCGGCAGGTGCCAATATCACAGGCTTAATCACAGGCTAAGTGAGATAGTAGTAGTAGTTATATTAGTAGGTCTTCTATAGATACTGTACATTTCAGGTAGGGCCAGCACGGTGCTGTGTATGTAGCGTGCAGAAAGTTTGGATGCCACATGACACCATAGCTATGCAGCACAACAAACACCTCGGGTTGGTGGTTTCAACTCACTTGAAGACCTGAAGACCATAATATAATTAGTCAGTGGCTTCAATATGCTTCAATCATTGCCGAGTACAGGAAGCTTTTTCACACAAATCAATCTTAAACCTTCAGCCAAATGTTGTTCCTGTTCTCGGCCGTCTTTTCCTCGGGCAAACGCCTTTGATGACTTCACCCTTGCCGATGTGGAAGACCGCCGGCTCCTGGTACTTCATGGATGGCGATGAATTCAAAACATGCATGTTGGCCCCCACAACATTATAAAAACGGATTCCAATAATAATTAAAAATAACTACATTGTTGGTGGGCCAGTGGCGATCTACTTTCGCCACTTTTCCCATCCACGGAACCGTGCCAGTGGGTCAGAGTGTAAAACGTGCCCACCATCGTCTCTGATCACAAAGTGACATGTGTGAGACAGTGAGGTGATGCCTTTTGCTTGCAAACGTCATGCCCAGAAGTGCACGGCTCCATTGGTTTTTTGAACAGGAGTGCATGGCTCGCACTCCTTGCCCTTGGAGGAGTCAAACTCTTCTCCTGTGGCCTGGCATGTGCGGAGGATTTGTGGAAGAGGGTGTTCCACTTCCAGCGTGAACAAGCAAAACACAAATAGAAACCTCATATAACATGGATGTGGAAAGCCTTCATAGAACTGCATATTCTCGGAGGAACACTCATGGAACTGGAAATCACCCTGTTTGCAAAGGACAATGGTCTTCCAAGGGTCCATGCCATCCACTTCCATGTTAGTTCCCACTTCCATGATGGAAACTGACCTGGGCACCCAGGGTTGGATGAATCAAGGCAGTGCAAACAAGAACGGCAACAAAAAGACTTCAAATGAGACGAGATGTTCAGCATCCAAAAAGACTTCCCCTTCAAAAGTGCCAGTTCATTGGACGTGGCTTTCCGGTTTCCTGGGGCAACACTTGGCCAGCACTTTGTTCCTTACATGTCCACAAGGGGTGAACTGCTACTGGCTTTGGCCCGGTTGGATCTTGCACACTGGTGCGCCACACAACCGCCCACCATGCTGCACCAGTGGATGCCACAGCAACAGCAACAAGCCCATTGGAGTGAGCTCCGCGGCAACTTTTGTGCGATGGCATGGGATTAAAAAGGAGGAACCATACCATATATCCAAACACCATGGCAGAAAATATCAAAAAGGCATAGTGACATAGTCTGTATGACTATCACAACTTTGGCCCAGAAAAACTAATCCTGCTTTGTAGAAGCTTGATCTTCAAAGGCCTCCCCTATAGCTCCCCAACAAAGAAACGACCCATTCACTTGCAGCATCTGAGGGCCCTGGCTTCCAGGCGTCCAGTGTAGTGCACCGTGACCTGCGAGCCAAGCCGTGGCAAACCGGCCACCTTTGGCCCAACGAAGTGAACCGGGCCTGTCAAAGTGACTCTCTCGGAGTGCAGAAGAAGTGGCTCAAGAGGCACTGCAAAGAAGCCGGTCAATTGAGCTAATGGTCATCCGTTGGCTAAAAACATGCTAAAACATGCTAAAACCACTAGTCGTCTACGCTTTGTAGAAAGCATCGCATTTGCCTCAGACGTTTTCCAAAGGTATACAGTCTCAAGGCTTTCACTTGAGACGAACCCTCGCATCTACACTCCTGAACAATCATGGAAGTGGATGGCATGGCCCCTGAGAAGACCATTTTCCTCTACAAACTGGGGGTGAACTCCACTTCGGTGGGCAGTTGGAGAGAGGGTCAAGTCTCACTGCGTCACTCGCCCCTCACGCGCGGCAGTTGGCCTAACACTTTTTTCACCGTCCTCTGCGTGCATTCGCAGTCCCTTTGGTACTCACTCTTCAGACCGAACGGGGGTGGCTCCGGAAATCAATGTAGTTGCGGCAACATTGTCTGGGTGAATCGACCTAGCAATCAGCTAATCTGATGCAAACTATCCTTCATGATCTCTTGAGCCACACCCACATGCATTTCAAAAGTTGCACCAGCTCATCCATGAGATTCAAGTACCTCCTGAGAAATACCGGGCCAAACACTCCCATTTATAGCCCCGGAGTAGGCCAAAGAACATCCAGACTCCTTATAGTCATGACCCCCTGAACCCTCTGGACCATCCTTTTGCCTTCATCTTCTCAGCTCTGAAGCAACCTCGGACCACTCAGCGTCGGTCATCAAGGGATTCTAGATGCGATGTTGTGGGGCTTCGGGGTAGGTGACACAAACCACCCAAAATGTATACTACGGTTTATTAAACCCTACTGGTGCCACAGTGGTCTATGGGTTTGTGTCATCTCTTTGTCCTACGAGCAGATCCAGTTTCCACTCATAATTCCCTGTTGCCTAAAGCATCCAAACTGGAACTGGGAACAATATTAATTAAAACAGGGCAGCTGGTTGCGAACAGGATGATTCCGCGGATTTGGCCTAAAACACAAATTCTGAAGGTAAACCTGCAATCCCCTCATAAATTTTCTGTTCAATTGTCTGAACGAGCTCGCTTCCATTCTTTTCCTGCTCTCACCACCTTTTTCGCATCAAGCACTGAAAAAAAAGGGTGCGCGGATGAAGCCTTCGCAGCACCGCCCTTCGCCCATTTTCGCATCATGCGCGTCTTCGCAGGTGGTCCAGTAGTTCCGTGTCCGTGATCTCTGAGACCTGCCCGACAGGTGCCTGCCTTTGGCACCGACAGGGAGTTAGACCCACCTCCAGGCACCCGCAACCAAGCACCTTCCCCCCCAAAAGAAGTCGTTGTAGCATGTGGTAGCACCTTCGACTGCGGATGCAGTGGGGAGCGCGTTTTCGGCCATGCCCACCACACCGGAAGGCGCGTTTGCGACACGAGGGATGGACAACACCTCCACAGAACCGTGGCGCTGCAGGTGCGGGTCGGGCAGTCGAGCTCCAAACTCCCATACCAAGAATTATATTCCCCCCCAAAATGGGGAAATGCAGCAACGCTTCAAACCAACGGTGAACGACACCTGAGCCCCAGGTTCAACACGAAATGACATTCCACCCTCATGGCCCAGGGTGAAAACTCCTTCGCGCCAACCAAAACGGTCCGCGTCTGCCCCATCCGCACCCCTTTTCGGACCCCTTCGTCCTCGGTGAGGAGCTCGTGGGCCAAGAGCACGTGTCTGGGCGCGGAGTCCAAGGCGTTCATCAGGAGCTCGTAGCTGAATCCGGTGCATCCCACTTCGCACCTCGGAGAGAAGCAGCTCAGGTCAAAGGCCTTGTCATGGGATGTTGATGTACAAAATCACAACAAACGCCGTGGACTTCCCCCCCTTAGCCTTCTCCAAATCTGAACAAAGCCAGATCTGACCGTAGTCTACAATGTCAGGAGAGGAGGAGGAATTGTCCAGCTGCCCTGGATTGATTTGTGAGTTGGTGGCCAAACATAATACCATCATACACATACACCATCATAATACCAAAACACAAGATGTGTTGCATACATGAATGGCCAAGAGCATAACATTACTTAGACCAATGATGCGCAAGATCTGGCGATGCCCTCTATACTCGAGATTCTTATAATTCGGATGCTTCTACGAATTTTCCGACCCCCCCTTGGTCAACTCAGAAGGAAACCCTAGCCTCGCAGTAACATATCAAAGATCCCCCTTGATATTGAGGTGGAGGGGTCTGGGCAACCATGTTGTAGTTGTATGTAGGTATTTTTTAAACAAATCTGTACACAATGAGGGATCTGAAGAAACTGTGAAATACAACATGCAAGTGCATGACCCGTGCTCGAGTCAGAGAAGAAAACAAAAACATACTACATTATGACCGTACATGGTGCATCTATCTTGCAAAAGTCTACCACTACAAAATGCGGATTCACATTCCGTATCTTTTTGTCCCTTGCTCTTGAAATGCCTCTTCGGAGTGCTTCTTGCACTCAACTCCCTGGAGACTTTTTCTCCACCAAAACACCCTCCCCGGCCCGCAAGACAACCACGTACCCACCGGTTGTTAGAAGTTCTGAAGTCTGCACTCCATGCCCACTGTCTTTTGAGGCACTGGACTTGAAGGGAAGGAAACATCTATAGCATCCTATAGCTATATCCTTAGCCCATGACCATTTGGCGCCCTGGCACTGCATTTGCCGCAGCAGGTGGAGCCCTTGGGTCCACTCCCAGCTCAAGGCAGCCAGGGCTGAGTCGAAGGAGACCGCGGTGCGGAGTTCACCGGTGTCTGCCAGGAGTCTCCTCGAGTCATCGAGGACAGCACCCGAAGCCTTCAGAATTTGTACATGTGTCCTCTTCCCCCAAAGGGTATAGACATGTAATGATGACATGTATATTATACATACTATAATATATATATATATACACATGTATATTAATAACCCGATATAGAAGTCCAATTCGACTATTTTCGGCACCACCCAAGGAAAAGAAGTTCCTTTTCGGATCACCTAAAGACCGTTTTAAACATTGGACTCCCAGGGTATATACTCAGGTCTTTGTGCGGATCAACCGTGGACCTACCGCTGTTCCCATCTGACAGTGGCTCCACCGCGGACCTCCTCGGTCCCCCTAGGCCCTAGTCCCCGATGGTCGACCCGAAGCGAACCACCGAGGCCCAAAGTATGCCCAAGTCGCAGGATTCTCCGCCAAGAGCAATGTCCTGTTCTGAACGAGCGGCTGCTTCCACGTCGACCCCCCCTCCGAAGCTCCGAACTGTTGGACACAGCCCCAACAACGCTGGTTGGCCCAAATGGTCACCTCAAACAGCACCAACAACTGGGCACCCCAGTGGTTGCACAGAACTGAACTGGAGGGGCAGTGTCTCCAAAACACCCACTGACACGACCATTGGGCTTCAACTATGCAAACCGAACGCGACGACAACCACAAAACACGATCCAACATGATCCAAATACATACAGCAAGCAAGGAGAAACTGTCCATCAGCGAAGCTGAAGTCTACCGTATACGAAAAAACGCTGAACGCGTTCACTCGAACGAGCGGGATGGACATGCCATATTCATCCATATTCAACCTTTAAATCCGTATTTTCAAGTCTCCATTCGAACGCGCGCGTCGCAGCGGGTCCTTTGTGCCCGGCAGCCATGGCGGCGTTGAGTCCCATCGGCGACCCCGCGCGCGGGGGACCCCGCACGGTCGATGGGGCGAGGAGGTGGAGGGCCCAAAGCCAGGTGGAACACTTCTCACAGGCACCTGGGACGCAGCGGACCCGTGGTCTGTACCAAGTCAGGTGAACTTTCTGGGATGGGGTTGTAGTTTTTGTTGTGCCATGGTGGATCCTGGGCCAGTGGAAGGTCGGGAGGTCAGGTCTGCAAAGGGCGCCACACGAGGTGAGTTGTATCCGGTCGTCGCCATGCCTGCTGCAGTTGGTCACTGATCGGCACAAGGCATGTGAAGCTCTGCCGGGGGCTGTCGGAGGGAGAGATCAGGTATATCCCCATGCCTGCAAGTCGTAGCTCAACTGCTAGACCGGACCCGATGCATCTGATGCATGGAAACAGGCCCGCAGTGGATGTGAGAGGACAGGCCTATTGATACGTATTGGCTCTCCAAGCAGCTCACTAAGGCATTGATGGTGGTCTCGGTGCGTTGGACTCTGCTTCTCATCATCTGTTGAAGGGTAGCGAAGGCCTCATCACAGAATCATTGGAGAGGCAAAGAAGAACCCCCCTGGAGATCAAACCCCCTGGAGATGCTGTACTTATGCAACCCCCCTGGAGATCAAACTCCCAACGCTGCCACGAGAAAGGCTTCAGAATGGCAGGGAACGCGGCGAAGCCATGCCTGTGCCCAAGTGAAGCCTTTTTCACAGGCACTGATGGTGGTGTTGTAGATGGTGGAGTTGGCCTTTAGCTGTGATGTTGGCATCAGCCCTAGCAACACCTCAGCTGATGGGTCACCACCGATGGGCATATAGGTGCACCAGGCTTAGGTAAAGAATTCGCTAAAAAAGGAAAAGCAACGGCCAAAGTCATGTACACCGGCCCTGCATGTAAATGCCTCACAACAAAAAAGGTATCAAACAAAAACATGGGCTGACAAGGTTGAAAGCTTGTAGCACACCGAACAAAACTGAATACTGAATACTGAAGATGGAGTGCGGTAAGCAGGTTTTCGTGCAAGCCTCCTTTCCTCTAACAGTCTCACGTCAGGGCGCTATAGCCTTCAGCCACTGGGTGCTCTTCTCACATGCGTTGAGGGCTGCACCCATGCTCACCTCCCACAGCAAAGCTACCAGTGAAATCCCCCCAACATTGGTGCACCTCATGGTGAGGCGCTTGGGCTTCATGTCAAAAGGTGAATGCAATTCTGTCTCATTGTCCTGAACCCCCAAGCATCAGCTCCGAAGAGATGCTGGCCTCGTTCGGCACCGGCAGGCACTCTGCACGCAGCAGGGCCACAGAATGGCGCCAGCGGAAGCCCATGGAAGCAGAGAGACTCACCTGGAAGGGTCTAAGAATCTGCGTCTATCGCAAGCTCTGACTCAAGAACAACAAGGATTTCAAGAACACCTCTCAGCATGCACATCTGTCGTATTGGTGTGTTTTGGACAACACGGCATCCAAGAGAAACTTTGTTTTGGATGCATCCAACTCAGTTCTTGACGTTGAGCTCAAGATCTGGTTGGCTCCAGATTGTTGTGGTCCACGAATAGCAATCATGAATTATAATACTGGCTGCTAGTATGCTACAATATTTTTGAAGTTGCATATTTCTTGCACCACTTTCCTTGTTCGGCACCGACCAACTCCGGCCTGGTCCGGCTCCAAGCTCAGGTGGCCCATGTGATGCAGCAAAACGAGGGACAAATCCCAAGCGCATGCCTGTGGGATTGGGGATGGCCAGGTATCTGGCGAACCAGATGTGAGTGTGCATTTCTAAAACAACAGTGGACAGTGGGACCCTCAAATTGGGTTCATTAGTCTGACCATGCCTAATTGTTGCTTTTTCCCGAGGGATAGGGAAGGTATAAACATTCTAGCACACCCATGTCCAAGTGTCCATCAATTGCGTCTTTCGCGAGACTGGTGAGCTATTATACTACAGCATCTGCATCTGCCGTCATCGAAACCACCCACCCCCGTGGGTGAGGCAGGAATACGGACCCTTTCAATCAAACACTGTCCCTATGGATCCACTGCCACCTTCCAGAAGGTAATTGGACCCTCCAAGCCTAATCACCTTCTCGGAAGGATTCGGAAGGTATGTGGATCATGTGGATCCATCATAGGTAGGGTATAGCTGGCTTGCCGTGGCTGGTTCCAGCCGGAGATCTGTCCCTTCCCCCAGCTCGCCCAGCCGGTCTTCCTCCGAAGCTTCCATCGGTCTTGCCCCACCTTGAGCGCTCCATTGTTGCTAAAGAGGTCAAGGCTTGGACCCAGCATGCGGAGCAGCTCCAGGACCCACGGCCTGGGAGTCGTTCGCGGACAGTCGTCCGCGGACCCGCGCACCCTGCGGACCGCCGGGCCTGGGGATGCCCAAATCCGACCTGGAAGGCTGCACCTTCTGAGAGAGACTGACGGTTTTGTTGCAACACAGGTCATTCAGTGCGACATGCAGCCTTTGTTCTTGGGGATGGTGCTTCGGTCTGCTTCGCGGTGGGAGCACCTCCCCAGCCTATTTTCGAAAGGAAGGTAGAGGGAATACGAAGTGATGGGGTGCTGGTTGAAGGACCAGCCCACGTGAAACCACACCCAAACAAAACAAATTTCTCCAACTCCCATCAAAGCGTCCAAACCTCCGCCTTCTCACAGACATTGATGGTGGCATTGTAAGTGATGAGACTGGGCTGCAACCTTCAAGCAAACTGAACTCTAAACAGGGCAGTACAATCAATCCTTTACGTAGAACATGCCTGGTGCCAGCTTTCGCCATTTAACATCATTTAACTAGACTTAGTTCCACTTAGTTAGATAAGCCTCACCTAGCAGTATTAAATAATTACCTATCCTCTACCTGACTCGACCTGAAAAATCTGATATTGGTCATCTACTTACTGTACATCGAACGGGCCCCGTCCACATGCCCCAAGCTGTTCCTCTTGGTACCGGACATCACGTGGCCGTTTCACCCCGCCCACCCCCACCTCTTCGCACTGCTTGCGCTACACAGGTGTAAGGCTTCAGGCCATCGGGACGTGGCGCCCATCCGCGCGGTCGAGGCGACCGCGGTGATGAGCCCATTGCGGCTGATGATGTCCTGGTGATGAAACGGCGAGAAACAGGAAGCTAAATTGACGTCCTTGTACCCCACCAGGATGTCCCTAACTCTCTTTCCCTTCTCTCCATGTTTTCTCTCAAGTTGTAATTCAAAGAAGTGGATCTCTGATCTATGGTGAAACCATTTCGGTCAATCGTACACATATCTAAGCCTTTCCATCTCGTGGTATTGGTCCAACGCGCGTGGTCGCCCGGGTCGGCGGTGTTCGCCTCTTGGGCTCCCATGGAATTCCACAGCTGGAGTGTTTGATGCCACGAGGTCGTGCGGGCGCCCGCAGAGATGGTGCTGTTGAAGCCTCAAGGCTCTCAAGGCTCTGAGGCTTGTCATCCGTCCTCATTCCCCCATCTGCCAGGATCTCCAGGTCTTTCTTTGGGAAATCATTTGCCAGCAATAGAAGCACCTATTGGTGCAGAATCCGAGTAAGACCCGCTGGAAACGGGGTGTCTCAGCAAAGGGAATGCAAACAAAAATGGGTCAGGAATATGGCCACACCCTCCCACGCCAAGAAAGCAATTAGCTGGCAAGCCTAAAGTAACAGTGCTGTGTGGTTTCGGGAGGCGACAAGAATCTTCAAAATATATAGTATGTTGTGTTGTTTTAGCAATTCTTGCAAGCCCCCACTAAAGACATGGACTTCTGGAAAAACAAGCTACATTGGACGCCATCTGCAGCAGTACCAATCAAAACGAGCTTAGAATGGTTCCACTTTTTAGTCTGTCAGCTTTCGGCCACGGATTGGTCATATAAATCTGGGCTCACCACGAAATGATCCGACACTAGAGCCCAAAGACCTGTTCGGTTTGGTGTTTCACTGGACCATTGGAAATTAGCCCAAGAATACTGGTGGTCAACGTAGTCTGTGGCGAGAATCACGGAACTATATACTTGGTCAAATGCCTTTCCAACTATAACCTGTCTTGCCATCAAAGATCATTCCCATTCTTCACTCTTTCCAAGCGAATACCCTATGAGTCTCTTTATTCCATCATGAGAATCTAGGAGTGACGCTTAGATTCTCGCGATCCTAAGTAGTGAGGTTGCCCCCAAGAAAACCACCAGCACGGCCATTGCCAGCAATGGCTAACGCCCAGGCGCTGATCGTCGTGGCTTCCAGTTGCCGGAGGCCTAGGCGCTTCAGCAGCTGCAGGGCCCAAACCCAGTGCTCCATGCAGCTGGCCGCGGCGTTGGAGCCAATGGCCTCGGCGGGCCGTGCGTCACGGCTCGCTGCGGAGTGAAGGAAACCTGATCGGGAGACATAGATTGAGATGGACTGACCACATCCTACTACCAATTCCATGTGGTCGGGGTGCCCCATTCTACACTCACTTGGGGACTGACTGAAAACATTTGGAACTCCTGGTGCTTTGACCTTCTTCATTCTTCACGACTCCAACCACTTGCCATGTAGTCAGCTGGGATTCAGGGACCAAATCACTATCAGTTACGACAATTCATTGCTCGCAAAAAACTGTGAACAGGAACTCCTTGTAGCTCAGCTCCAATGGGACCAGGGATGCCCTAACCCATCCTAACCCACTAACCCACAGCCACTTACCACAGCCTTCTGGTGCTCTCCGGTCCTTTAGTCATCTTCAGTCCAAATCACATCCGTAGGCTTGAGACCCTCCAGATTTCGCAGCAGCTGAAGCGCTTGAGCCCACGGGGAGAAGCACATGGCGGCATTGAAGGAGACCTCGCTGGCCTCGCTGGGCGCCGACGATGAGAAAACAACCATGCACTTGGTTCATTTATGACACGAAAGCACACATTATACATATAATATATATAGCATGGAAAACAAGATAAAACAACGCCTAGAAGACTGTGATATTTCTGTGCCTTTGCGTAAAATAGTTGCACATCCAAGTAATGTTGGATCTCGATTAGTAAAGGGGTCCTCTGTAATGCTAAAATTTTCCAAATTTATTCAGACCTCCATGTTTGAAAAATGGGTCCTGAATAATGCTAACTTTTTTGGGGGACCCAAAATTTTTAAATTGGAAACCTAATTAATAAGGTCTGAGGCCAATGATTATGATTCATTAGCTGATATAGCTTTCTCTAGGTTTCTTCAAAACTGACAGCTGACCAA